GGTATAGACACAGAATCCAAGGAAGAAAGGAAAGCATGGTAGGAGGGTGGTAAGGCCTTGTAGGAGAGATGGTGTGAAATGCAATGGGATGTACACTTTCTCTTCCCTTTATGGAATGCAATGGGAAGATCAAGATTAGAGAGATTAGCTGCCACAATAGTGTTAGGTGTAGAAACATCATTATCAAGGGAAATAATAGGCTTAGGCTCAAGGGAAATACCTAGAATTGTATTAGCCGAACCTAGAATCTCAGATGGAATGGTAGAGAGTGGTGTAGGTTCTTCTATCTGAGTATGTGTGGAGTCAACCCTCTTTTGGTGGCGTTGATAGACCTATGAGGTTGGCCGTAGTGGATCAGGTAGTGGGACTATAGTTGCTGATGGTGGAATAGGTGGATCAGATGAAGGAACAAATGACACTGGAAGAGGGACAGGTTGTGAGTTCTCTTCCCTAAAACACTCCCCTTTAGGAGAACCATTCAAGAAAAAGAAAGTAGACTAAAAAAATGTAACATCCATAGTAACAAACACGCTCCCTGACACTGGGTCACAACAACAATACCCCTTTTGATTTTGAGAATACCCAAGGAAAACACATTTCTTGGCCTTAGGATCCAATTTCTTGCAATGAGGATCAAGAATGTGAACAAAGGATACACCAAAAAACTCTCAAAGGTATATGAAATATCTCTTCATTTGGAAAAAGCAAGCTGAAAGGTGACTTAAACCCCAAAGTGCGTGAAGGAACACAGTTAATTAGATACACGACTATGAGAACTGCATCCCCCCAAAAACGAATAAGAAGTGAGGCACACACCATAAGGCACCTTTCCACCTCCACAATATGTCTATTCTTCTTCTCTTCTACCCCTTTCTGTTGTGGTGTGTATACATAACTACTCTGATGAATCACACCATGCTCTAAAAAGTATGAGGACAAGTCCTTCTCAAGGTATTCTCTAGCATTATTTGATTTGAAGACTTTAGTCCTCACTCCAAATTGTGTGAGAACCATTTGGTAGAATTGTCACACCAAAATGGGTACTTCATTACGTGACCTCATTAGATATATCCAAGAATACCATGTATGGTCATCCACAAACAAGAGAAAATAATGGTAACCACCCCTGGAAAAAATGTGGTAAGGACCCCATACATCAGTATGAACAATATCAAAAGCAAAGGAACTTCTTTTATTACTTGGTTTAAAAGAATGTCTACAATGCTTTTCCAACTGACAACTTTCACATTCCAAACTAGACAACTGAACAGACTCAAATAACTTTGGAAACAAAGACCTCAATGAAATGAAAGAAAGATGACCCAAATGATTATGCCAGAGCATAATCCGACTCACTCTCTGATCCACTACTACTGCTACTACTAACATGATGGCTTTGATGTCTCGGAATCTCATCCAGAAGGTAGACTCCATTCACCTCACGGTCACTCCCAATCGTCCTCTTTGATTCTAGATCCTACAAAACACAATTACTAGGAAGAAAGGTCACTGAGCAGTTCAAATTTTTTTATCAGAGAGCTTACTGAAAGAAGATTAGTGTGGAGTTTAGGGACATGTAAGACAGAGGATAAAGTAATGTCATTAGTCACTTTAACTGTCCCTTTTCCAGCAATGGGAATATGGGAATCATCTACTGTAGAGACTCTATCTCTACCAGAGCACAATTGGTAAGAACTAAAGAGGGTAGATATATTGGTCATATGTTCAAATGCTCCTGAGTCTATAATCCAGGGAGGTCTCTCCTTACCTGAGGTGGATACATGATTTGCAACTGCATATGAACTACCTTTATGAGCAAAGGAAGTAGTATGGTTGGCTCCTGCACTGTTCTGTCCATCTGAAGAACTGGAACTGGCAGAATCCTTCTTACTCATAAGCTGTCCATACTTTTCCAATTCAATCCTCATTGTTTTGCTGTAATGGACTCCAGGTCAGCCTGGGAGAGGGGTCCTGAAGGGTCTCCTATAATTGCCACATTTGCATTTCCCTTCTTGTTCTTGATCCGATTTGGTACGAGATGAGGGTAAAGCTTCCAATAGGTGTCTTTGGTATGCTTAGTCTTCTTGCAATAGTCATACGCCAAATCCTTCTTGTCCTCCTTCCTAGCCTCACTACTCCCCCTGTCTCCATTGGCTTAGATTTAACTGTATTAACCATAGCTGACTGATCAATCCCAGGTTGTCTCAACATGACATTCATCCTGCACTCGTCCCTAGAGACAAAGGCATAAGTTTGAGCCTTGAGAAAGAATCACACTTTCTCTAGAAAGAAGATGTTGCCTGGCAATGTCGAATTCAAGGTTCAGCCCCACCAAGAACTTAAAAACCCAATTCTTTTCTACCAACCCCTAATAGGTTGCTGCATCCTTCATACTCTCCCAAACCATAGTTTCTAAGTGGCCTATCTCCTGCCAAAGTTTTCAGCATGGAGAAATAGGTGGCAAGAGGTCTATCTCCTTGTTTTGTACTAATCACCTGATTTGCTCTAGCTACATTTTATTTCTAGGAATAGGTTTTAGTCACTACATCCCAAATCTCCTTTGCAGTATTAGCCCACAAAAAATTTTTACCAATGTGAGGTAACATAGAGTTGCACAACCAAGTCATCACCATGTATTGTCCTGTATCCACCGGGAGGGATTTGTATCAAGTTTCTTCTCCTCCCCAGTGATGTACCCTAGTTTCCCACGAGCACCAATGGCCATCTTGGTTGATTGTGCCCATTCTAGATAATTTGTACTATCAAACTTCACTGTAATAATAATTCCAAACTCAAAAATGTTACTACTACCTCCAACAACCAGACTCATGTTACTGGTGGACTTCTGCTTGGTACTCCAACTCTCCATTTTACTTTAAACAGTTCAAAAGCAGAAAAAAAATTAGGTAGAGAGCCTCCAAGATCAAATCGATCTCATACACAAAGGTAACAAACCTTTTCGGAAGAAGAAAACCCTATCTAGAGAGAAATCTCTCTCCTCCCACTGTCTCTCACCGGAGAGAAAAGTGAATCAGCCACTCCAGAAGGCCCAAAAAATTCCAGAAACCTAACCGCCCCTATAGAATACCTAGAGAAGTCCAACAATACCTGAGCACCCAAGATCAGATCAAAATTGAAGAGTCCAACTTGACTTCCCCGCACTCCAATTCTTCCTGATTTCGATGCCAAAACATAGATCACCCTCTTGATGATTAGATCACACCAAAAAATCCAAGAACTGGGCAATCTGAAGTAGACCGATCAGCCCTTATCTCCTCATGCAATTGGCTGATTTAGGACTGCATGGAAAACTTCAAGAAATCCTAACCTTGCTCTGGTACCAAGTAGAAAGGTGCTGAAATAAAAAATCTGTAAAAGAAAAGAATATTTCTTGAAGAAGAAGAGAAGAAAGGAGAAAAGGAAGAGAAGAGATTCGAGAGAAAAAAGAGATCAATAATGCTGACCGCCCTCTTCACTATTATTTATAGTCTGAAATAATAAAGATTGCAAAGACAAATATGCTCTTATAGGGCAGCTAACACATAAAACAATTAAAATAACTGCTCAAAAAGGACCCAACAAGAGTGATGTGGTCCCCACTTCCTATCTAAACAATAAATAATCAAAAACCAACACTATAGACTACATGATTTGTCTAAAACCTCAACAGAACCTAACAAGGGAGCTTAGAGTACAGTTTAAATGGGCTAGAAGGTCAGAAAACACCTTGGCTGATGCTTTGGCAAAGCAATGGGTTACTAGGGAAACTCTATTTTGGGTATGTTTGTAAGTCTACTGTGAATTGGAGGATCACCTTCTTTGGAAGGTGATAATTGTACTAATTTGCTTTAAAGTTGATGAAGGTTACTATTTCCTATCAAAAAAGAAAAAAAGTTTATGGGGATATTTCTGACAAATTAAAGGTAGTTCCTCCCCTTTTCCCCCTTTTTTGATATTGGGGTAGCCATGGATTCTGACTTTTGTAGCTAACGTTGAGGTTTTGTAAAGCATTTTAAATTTTCATCAATACCATGCATTTTCAGTTGCCAATAGAAAGTAAAACAAAAATAAATGAGAAAATTCTAATTGTATTACTGATAAAAAAATTCTAATTGTATTTGTTATCATACCTGAAATAAAAGGAATAATAGCAGGAAAAAATATCTAAAACTGAGATGAATAGAAGTAGAGAAGAAGTGAACAGAAGGAAAAACTAGGGCTGGAGAACAGAAGAGAATGAACATAACTAACCTCAACTGTCGCCCTCTTTTATTAATCTTATATAATAAAACTAAAATTACATTAACGTCACTCTCGAGTAAATAGGAAATAAAAGAAAGAAAAGAATTACATGGCCCACTTAAATATAACAGAAACAAACTCCTAATACTTCTAACAGTATTATATGATAACACTTTTTAAGGTTGCTAAGACATGATTTTGTTACCAACTTCTTTCTTCCTTAAAGCTAAAATGCTTCTGTTGTGTGATGTACTCTTTTTTGAGATAAGTAGATTAATATACTTGCGGATACTTTTGTAACTCACTTTGTTTTGTCATCAATTTGGTTGTGTACCATTTATGTTAATTTCCATCTTAATATTGCAGCCATGTTTGATAAATTTTGTTTCCTCTTGTTTTATGGATGTTTTTATAGCATATTTCATTAGAGGATGATTCATTCTCTCGATTACTTTTTACAAGGATACTTACATTGAGAAATGTCCTGGTAAGATGCACATGTAGAATTCAAAGGATAGAGATTCATTCGTCTTATTTCTTATTTCTGCATCCTTTTGTTGTTAATTTGGATATAACTTTATGTGGTCTATATAACCGATTTTTTTTATAATAATATAATATTATTTTCCTGACTCTGGACTTTTTGACTTTCAACTTAAAGTGAATCTGGAAAGGCATGCATGCTTGATATCTTTCTATATGTGTATGAACTTATGAACTAGGAAGACTTGATTATAAGAGATTACTTTGCCCTGCAGGTTGAGCGCACAAAGTTGAGGCCAGTTGCAAGTGGTCTTTTGACACCATTTCAGGGCCTTAGCTTTCTTGGGTGTCAACTGCTTTTGGGACTTGGGATTCTCCTTCAACTAAACAATTATAGGTGAATATTGTCTTTATTTTCTTTTACAAGGTTCTTCCAGATACAAATAGCTCTTACAATAGTTAGTAACTTAGTTTGACCCAATCAAAAAAATTCTTGCATACACAACCAAGGTTTAAAATGTCAGCATTGGTGGAAATATCGCTCATCCAAATACAGGAAACATGTCAGAAATGTTGTATGGAAATATTGTAAAAATTATAGACATGGTAGACATACTGTGAAATATGCAAAAAATATAAAATACTATTTTATGTAATGATAAAAGGTGCATAGGTAGACCCTTTTACATTATCATCCAACAAAGATAAGAAACTAGGGTTAATAGGTAAAATAATATGCTACGATGTTGTCCTATAAACTGTAAGAGTCAAAACTACATGATATGATAGAATGAGTTAAAGCAAAACCTAAACTCATAGAAAGTGCAAATGATTCCAATAGATCAACCAAATAATTTATCATATAATAATAGCTAAGATTTAACATCATGTTTGAAATGAATTTCAAGCTGGCTCAAAGTGGTAATCATGTGATCATGTCCATTATGTGCAACAGCACTGCTACTCAACATATCTAAAAGATTATTGTCAACTTATGCTATAATACTATTTCTTCTTCTTAACAAAGCACTGGTAGTTTTCATTGGGGAATAAATTGATTCCAATAATATTTCATGTTGGTGCTCATGGAAATGGGAATATGTTGTGGAAATATAGGAGATATATGGACATTTTAAACCATTTACACAACCACCCTTTTTGAACTGCTTGGAATTTTTCTGATCAAAATTGGAAAATTGTTTGAACATATGAACTTTGAATTGCCGTCATATGACATTCTATATCTTAATAACCTTGTAACTTTTCTGTAGTGGTTGTGCCCACCATGAATTGAGATATCAGCAGGTATGATAGGCTGTTTCAATTGAGATGCATGGACATTTGGATTGGTGTTGTCAAAAATCATGTAATTTGACAGCTTGTAACTACTTATATAATTTTTTGGCCAAGTTCCTCGAGTCTATACAGCTGATGGCCAGAGCCGCATGACCAAGTTAGGGTGTAGGTCTTCAACTGAGCTTCTTCAACTCGACCCCTTGGCTCTATTATCAAGTAGACTGCTATAGTAGATCTGCAAACAGATCGAACCGGATCAAATACAAGCAGATCCAAATTTGATTCGTTGATATTCAAATCTGAATCAAATGTATCCAATGGATTTATGTTGGATTTGAATTGATTTCATATTGCAATTGGACATTGAATGATATAAGTTAAATTAAACATATTATATAGTATTAATGAAATGAACTAAAGATGACTTTGGTATTATATATTTTGAACAAAGTTTATTAAAGTTTACTTGTATAAAACTTGAACCTATGAAAATTTAGTAAAAACTCAACATTCAACTCAACTTTACTAGATACAACATAAATTTTATATATATGAGTATATATATTTAAGTCGAATCAAATCGGATAGGGATGGGTTCATATTCAATCTAAATGGATTAGATTTGAATTCAGACAATGGAATATCGACATACTGTTTGCAGCCCTATGCTGTAGACTGTTCTTGTATGAGAAGAAAGCAGAAGATAACTATGCTTTGCAAGGGAGTTCTTGTATGAGAAGAAAGCAGAAGAGAACTATGCTTTGCAAGGGAGTTCAAAGAGGCATTTACAAGTGTACCCTTATACAAGTAGGAATTTACAAGACAATGGAATGTCAACTTCTCAACCCAAAGGTGCTATTCATATTAGACTTCAAAGAGGCATTTACAAGTGTACCCTTATACAAGTAGGAATTTGTTAGTATGCCTTCTATCACTAAAAGTACAAAAATGCACTTAAATTTATCAGTATTTCTCAACATTTCCTGATTATCTTTTCCCCTTTTTAGTATGGATGGTAAAACCCACGTTATAGCTTTTTTTTTTTGAAGATTGTCATAGCAAAACTGCCATGTGGAGGGAGGGTGACGCAGGCATGAGGTTTCTTTGGAAATATTTCTAAAATTTTTAGTTTATGAATCTGGTCAAATCAATTTCTGAGAGCAAGTATATATTTCTTAATTGTAATTAGTTGGAGCTAATAGATTCCATGTTTTATATCAGCCGTGTTTTGGGGGCATCATCATTGCTTCTAGTCTTCTCCTATCCCCTCATGAAGAGGCTGACATTTTGGGTAATGACTTACTGAATCTACGCCAGTGCTGTCATCTCTCTTTCTCTCTCATTATAAAAGTTTAATGATGTGTTCTCTCATGCATGCAGCCTCAAGCATATTTAGGTTTAACCTTCAACTGGGGAGCTTTATTAGGATGGGCTGCAGTCAAAGGAGATTTGGATCCCACTGTTGTCCTTCCACTATATGTTTCTGGAGTGTTTTGGACACTTGTATATGATACAATTTATGCACATCAGGTAGAACAATTATAAAATCCTTAACGTTTTATCTGTTGCTTCTTCCATGTACCAGTGAAGCTAGATGTGGGTTATTCTGTAGCAACAGTGTCCTGAGATTTAAACTTTTGTGTTTGCTTCGGTATAGGGAAACTAGATATTTATTGTAGGACTTAATTTCTCAACTTAAATTACAAGATGTTGCAATTTCTTATTGAGAGGGTGCTTGCAAGAAATACAGATGCAACATCACATTGGCCACAACCACATTGCTAGTGGGACTAAGGGACTGCGAATGGGCAATCGCTAAATTATAGAAATATAATTATCGAAGGGGATTCTATGGTGGTTGTGGGCTGGTTAAAGAATAACAGATCGGCTATGGCAATACCAACACATCATGAGGGATAAGATACTTGGTGAGGGAATTTGGAACCACTTTCTCTTAGGTCCAAAGATTACCAAAAGAGTTTGATTGATGCAATGGCCATAGAAGCGATGAACAAGGTTCAATTATCTTGGGATCTTGATGAGGAAAAGGGTTAGGTAGCTAAAGCCAGCCTAAAGTAAAGGGATGTGTTAAGGAGTTTATGAATTTATGTTTTATTATTTATTATGTGTAATAGGGGCAGATTTGTCAGTTAGGGCAAATTACTAATCAGGGGTATTGATGTCATTCGCTTCTTCGTTAAGTTGTGGTCCCTCATAACTGAGGAAGTCACCACCTATATAAGTAATATAGAGGTTTAAGTGAAGTATATTGATACTTGACAGAGTTTGCTTGTCAGAATACAACTATGTTCTTGATTTACTTGAGGAGACTAAGAATGCCAATGTTCAAACCATGCTCTACTCAAATGGACCCAAGCATGAAGCATAGTTGTCAAGGTGATGCATAGGCAACAAGCACCAATGGAGGGTCTCTTGCTTAAGTGCATACCTAATTTGTACATGACACGTGAAATATTTTTATTTTCTTTATTTTTTAGGCTACAATAATAAAAAAAAATCATCAAACTAAATTATTCATTTAGTGGATTTATATATATTAATTTCCTTTTATTATTTTTCTATTTGTTAGGGTCCAATCAACACATTTGTTGGTTTATGTTGTCTTGAACCCTCAAAGAGTTCAAAACCTGAACCAATAAGCAAGCAAGAAACTTAAAATTTTGTCCGATCAACATATTCTGCTTCATCTTCCAAGGAAAGAACAATAAGAACTGTTGAACTATGTCCCAACATAATGAGAGTTGGTTGAGCTTAATGATTCCAACTGAATGAAATATCATCAGATTTACCATTTTAGAGTTTGTTTGATCTTGTATCATTACTGCTCAGGGATCATTTAAGTTGATAGGATAGATTTGAAAGCCATGACTGTAGTCAAGGATCATATTACAATTTATAATTTCTGATGCAATTGTGTCAAATGGTGTTTTCAGTCCTTTTGAAATTTGACCCACTTTCCTAAACCAACAACTCTCTAGGTACAAAGTGAATTGCTATCTTAATCAAAAGCCTAGCTTTGGGCAAACTTTATTTCTTGGCAGTTGACTTGTCATCCAAAAAAAGTAGTTCTCTCCAATGTTTCAAAAAGCATGTGAAGTGTACGCCATAAGGCTGAAGGTGCGCCTCCAAGCAAGGCACTCAAAAACACCCTGAGGCATGTGCTGGAGGCACGAATGACTTTAAGGCCTCATAACTTTACCCGGGTAAGTGCACTTACCCAGTTTCCTGGGTAACATTTACCTGGGTAAGTGCACTTACCCATGTTCTTTTGATTTCCAGGATTCCCAGGTAAGTAACAAAATGACATTTCTACCCATAAAAGCTAATATAAATGGTTAAAGTTGTCCCATTATGCTTTATAAAATTTCCCCCCAGGTGGGTAACTTATTCACCTGGGAGGTGGGTAAGTTTTATCCGGATAGTGGAGCTTATTTTACCATGGGGCCCATTAGTAAATGCAAAAAGAACATTGTAAAGTTGGTCAATGGGAAAAAGATACCCATTGAACAACTTTCCCAAGTTTATTTACCGGTAAATGAACGGGGCCTAAGGTGCATGCCTCATGCATCTGAGGCATACACCTCAAATGCCTTTTGCATTAGACACATACACTTCTGGTTTGCCTCATGTGCTTCATCCATGCTTCAAAATAGAAAGAAAGAAAGAAAGAAAGAAAGAAAGAAAGAAAGAAAGAAAGAAAAGAAGAAAAATCGTCCTCCTATAGAAAATCCAGAAATTCCTTCAACTGTACCGTAAGGGGGCAAAGAAACATTATTAGGATTCAAGGGAGAGTAGAAAATGTGAATAAAAAACCTAATTGTAGCTTTTATTTTTGAATACATGGAATCCAGAAATAGTGCAGTGGATAATACATTTCAAAAAGTGTGGTAACTCAGAAATAGGTCATTGATTAATATCTCTTGTCTTTATAGAGTCCAGATCTTGCTAGTCCCTCCTACTGCATCATAAGATTTTGAAAAACAAATATTGTATACATGATTACTATTCAGAGATTGACACTAATTCATTGTTACTCAATTTAAGCTACCAACTATTATGTTTTCAGGATAAAGAAGATGATCTGAAAGTGGGTGTTAAATCTACAGCCTTGAGGTTTGGGGATCTGACAAAGAACTGGGTTTCTGGATTTGGGATTATATGTATTAATAGCCTTGCTATCAGCGGATTTAATGCTGACATCGGTGTGCACTTTCTTCTTCTTCTTTGGTACTCTTGGGGTTTGTGCATGTTTCCCATATTTTTCGATCCTCAGTTCACAACTCAACTTGGCTTAAAATAACTAGTTCTTTTTGTAGGACAGGATGGCCATTCTATCCATTTTTGATGGCTGCAGCTGGACAATTGGCATGGCAAATCTGGGCAGTTGACCTGTCAAATCGTGCGGATTGCAATCGAAAGTGAGTACTCATGTAAGAGCAAATTTGTGGTTTGCACGGAAAGGATTGGTGGCTTGGCTACAAAACTTAGTTCATCCCCTGTATCAGTTATGTGTCCTATCTATTCTGTTTTTTTAGCATGTTGCTTTTTATGCTACCTTCATTTTTATAAAAAATAAAAAGATAAAAGTTCCTCTAAATTTCAGTGCTTTGGATCAGTATGCTGTTGAACCTTATGAGGGTCTGGTGTTTGCATTGCATGTTGCTTTTTTTACCCCCAGACTCCACTTGTATTTTTCTTTAAATCCATAAGCATTCCAGAAACCACAAACAAAAAAGAAAAAAAATAAAAAATAAATAAAGGAAAATTCTTTGCAGGTTTTGTATTCTCATTGAAGTAACTGCTTATGGAATATGGACATGCAATTGTCTGTGTAGAATTTTTCTGTTTTAGTGAATGGATTGGCAGTTGATTTCATTGAAGGCTTACGAGATCTTAGACAATGTAGTCCACTCTCTCCCTTTCCATTTACTTTGGTGGCCGAGGTATTAAGTAAATTGATTTTAAAGGCTAATTCCTTGCAATTGTTGAAAGGATGGATAATAGGAAGAGATAGAATTTTGGTCTCTCACTTGCAGTTTGCAGATGATATCCTCCTCTTTTGTGATGGAGAAGGAAGAGAGGGGGTAGAAAATCTGAAGTTAGTAGTGAAGCTCTTCGAAAGGATCTCAAATTTGAGAATCAATTGGTCTAAAAGTTTAGTGGCTGGTATTAATGTAGAAGATGATGAGCTAAAGTCAATGGCAGATTTATTGGGGTGTGAGAAAGGAAATTGGCCTTTGTCTTATTTAGGTTTACCCCTTGGTGGCAACCCTAGGTTGGCTAGTTTTTGGAACCCAGTAGTAGAAAGATTTGAGAAAAGACTAGCAAGTTGGAAAATGAATTATATTTCTTTGGGTGGGAAAATTACATTGATCAAATCTACTCTGGCAAACCTTCCAGTGTACTGTATGTCTGTTTTTAGGATGCCTCAAGCTGTGGTAAAAAGAATTGAAAAGATAACGAGAGATATCCTTTAGGTGCCTGGTGAAGGGAAGAAAGATCATTTGGTTAGATGGGATAAGGTGATGCAATTGAAGATTGAGGGGGGTTTGGGCATTGGAAATGTTAAGTTGAAGAACTCGGCTGTATTGAGTAAATGACTTTGGAGATTTCCTAAAGAAAATGAAAGGCTGTGGACTAGAGTTATTTCAAGTATCCATGGGCTGTCAAACAACGGTTGGGATGCAGGCTGCTTACATAGAGCTACTCTGGCTGCTCCTTGGAAGGCTATCCATGACAATCTTCCTGTGTTCCTCAATCACATAAGGTATGATTTGTCTTTGGGTCAGAAAATTATATTTTGGGAGGATATGTGAGTAGGGGAAGCCCCCCTTTCGGAAGTTTTTCTTTCTCTCTTTGAGCTTTCTAGTCTCAAAGGTAAACCTATTTGTGATTTTATTAGTTCTTCCTCATCCCTTTCAAACCTGAGTTGGAATCTTGGCTTCACTAGAAATTTGAAAGAATCTGAAATTTCCAATGTCTCAGCTTTGCTTCTTCTGTTGGGTTCAGTATGTTTGGGGGAGGGTGGTTTAGATTCTAGAGTGTGGACTCTTAGTCAGTCAAGCTCTTTTTCCTGTTAAGGAGATATAGTCTTGGCCCATCCCTCCAAAAGTCGGTGCTTTTTGTTGGGAAGTGTTTCATGGTTCCATTAACACCTGTGATTTGCTTAAGAGGAAAAGGCCAAATTGGTGTTTGTCCCCAAGGTGGTGCTCTTTATGTAAGTTGTATGGTGAGACTGCCTTTCATCTTTTGATCTCGTCCTTTTGCTACTTCTATTTGGGAGTGGTTTTCATCTCTTTTTGGATGCAGTTGGCTTCCCCCTGATTGTTTGGAAGGTGTTTTTAGCTCTCACCTTTTCAGCTGCCCTAAAAGAAGAGGTAGAATTATGTGGAGATGCACTAGAGCAGCAATGATCTGGACAATTTGGGAGGAAAGGAATCTAAGAATCTTTGAAGACAAGGAGAGAAGTAAAGAAGCTGTGGTTGAGGTGATTACTCTCAAAGTAGTGCATTGGGTGAGCACTTTGAAGCTCTTTGCTGACTTTAAGGTTGAAGATTTCTGCAGATCGTGGGGAATAATTGCAGGCTCTTCGTCTAGAAGACAGATTGTTCATGAGGCCTGGTCTCCTCCATGTGTTGGGTGGAAGAAATTAAACTTTGATGGTAGTCGTATGGACAATCCTGGACCATCGGGTATTGGTGGGGTAATTAGGGAAGAAAATGGAAACATTCTAGCTTTGGTACTCAGGTCCTATTCAGCATGGAGATGTGGTGAGATCAGAATTATTGGCAGCAGTCTATGGAGTAGAGAAAGCTAAAGAAATGGGGATTACTAAGCTGATTATTGAAGGTGATTCAAAAGTAGTTCTGGGCTGGTTAAAAAAGGGGAAGGAATCATATGGAAGTTAAGGAATGAATTCAGGAGATTCAAGCAGATTTCTAAAGATATGATGATCCAAATAAGATGGGTAAGGAGGTCTGCAAACAGTTTTGCTGATGGTCTGGCAAAGCAAGGAACTCAAAGACAATCTATGTTCTGGGTGATTCTGTAAATAGTGAATAGTTTCTGGGTGGGCTTTGTTTTGGTGCCCACAACTCTTTGTTGTATCTCTATTTTTTAATTTAATGAATCAATTTTGTGTTGCTGATAAAAAAATGTCTATGTAGAACCATCTCTCTCTTAAATCGTAGTGCTTACTACCTTCCACTTAACACATTAACACTAAGAATTTCTTGTGGGGATTGTTTTCCGGTATGTTGACTTTCAGTTCTATTATGAATTCAACCTTTTTACTGTTTTTTTTTTTGGTATTTAACATTCTATTGGTTATCCATATTCATTATATTTTCATGTTTGATTATGAAGACAGTGACACACTGCAGTCCTTTTGGCCTACCGCGTTGGACGCTATGTTCAATCTTCATGATGAAAAGGGGAAAATGGGAATTTGATGTTTAACTCGAGCAGATACTGCTCCAATTACAAGAGTCCTTTTAACACTGACCGTGGTCCTTAGCATTTGCATGAGGCTAAAAGATGGAAACTCCAGTTTTCTTTTCCTTTTTCTTCTTTTTGCATGCGTAACTACTAATATTTTTACAAAAAAAAATGTAGATCTGGCATTCTTACCACTTTGCACTTGGTACAAATGCTCTGTAGAAAATCTTATTTTTATGTGGGGATATTATTAGTTTATGTTGGACAAGACTCATGATTTTTATGTGGTGGAATAATCACTTATTAAAAGCGTGTAGCAAACTTACCTAACTATTATTTTCTCTTCTCAAAGTTCTAGCGTCAGTGGCTGAAGAAATAGAATGTAAAGGGAATTTCTTTGAAATATCAAGGTGGAAGAAAGCAGCTGTCATTTGGTAAAATGGGAATGGATCTGTAGGTCAAAGAAGGATGACGGTTTAGGGGTTAGGAGAGTAAGGTTGTTCAACAAAGCTTTTTCTGGAAAGAAGAGCATGGGACTGCAGATTGAGGCTGCTTGTGCTGATATTGAGGAGGGGAGATGGAATGTCAGCTGCATAGACAAGATTGGTCTAGGCAGTGTTTTAAAAGCGCAAGGTGCAAAAAAGGTGCAGGGGCCAATTTGTGCCCGAGGCGCAAGGTGAAAGGCGAGGCGCATGCCTTTTTCAAAAAGGCGCACAGAATTTTCAGGAAATGTAACAAAATTGAAAAAATATATAAAAATTAAAAAAAATCAGAAAAAATACAAAAACAATACAATCTAAATTTCCAAGAGTTAAGAGTTAAGATATGAGTATGACAATGCAATCTAAAGTTCTAGTTTCTATTTCTAAAGTCTAAAGTTCTAAACAATTAAAATAACATACTAACAATGCAATCTAAAGTTGGGATGTGGGGGTATTACAACACCTTGGAAGGCGATCTCTGGCATTCTCCCTAAATACCTCAGTTTCGTGAGGTACAATGCTTGTTCTGGAAACTCCATTCTTTTTTGAGAAAATATTTGGGTGAGCACTCAACCCCTGAAAGACCGTTTCCCTTCTCTCTATTCCATCTCTCTCTTTAAAAAGAACCCATTTCCTGGTTCCTTCCCCCCCCCGATTTGCCCTTTGGCTTTAAACTGAGATTTCGGTTTTCGAAGAGGGTTAAGAGATGAAGAATTTCATTGTGTTTCAGAGCTATTGTTGCTTCTAGAGTCGGTGTGTGGACCCCACTAACTCGGATAAAAGAGTCTGGGCCCTAACCCCAGTTGGCTCCTTCACTTGTGCATCTTTCTTCAAAGCCCTTTGCTCTAACCCTTCCTTTTAGGTCTTCCCTGATAAAGAGGTTTGGTCAAGGCCAATACCCCCCAAAATAGCAGTGTTCTGTTGGGAAGCCTATTATGTTAAGATCAATACTGTGGAAAACTTGCAAAAGAAGAAACCTTTTATGTGTCTGTCCCCAAATTGGTGCTTTATGTGTAAAGTGGAGGGTGAGGAATGTAACCATTTGCTGATATCGTGCTCCTTTGTTGCCAATGTTTGGAACTGGGTTGTTTCCTTATTCGGGTGCAAGTGGAACTTGCCCTCTGAAGTAAAGCTGCTGTTCACTCCGGCTGCTTTTGGGAGATTGACAAAAAGAGGGAAGCTAATGTGGAAATGTATCAGAGCCGCTACTTTGTAGAGTTTATGGGAAGAGAGAAATGCTAGAATATTTCAAGAAAAGGAAAGAAGTCTTGCTGAAATCAAAGAATGCATATTGAGAAGGACACTCGTGGTTGAAATCTTCACAATTGTTGGCAAACTTCTCCTTTGATGACTTAAGGAGAAACCAGGAAGTAGTGGCTTTTACAGCATCCACTAAGAACAAATCACAAGTGGATTGGAAACCCCCACCGGATGGAGTGGTAAAATTGAATTTTGATGGCAGCTGCCAAGGTAACCCAGGGCCATCCGGAATTGGTGGG